GGGCATATGCGAAGAGAAAGAGAGAAGTTGGGGACCAAAGAGCAGAGAGGGGGCAGCTCCCCACCCCTTTAGAGAAATGAAGGAGGAGAACGGAGAACGAGAAAAGGAGAGCAGAGTACTTGGGGCTGAGAGCGATGACTGGATACCGAAGAAAAGGAAGAATAAAGCGCAGAACAGGGTGATGAGAGCAAGGAATTGCTAGCGAGCACTAGAGAGGGTGGACTGCGGAGCATGGATCGTGCAAGGGAAGCAGAGTTTCAGGGACACATAGAAGAATGTAACCGTAAGGCAAATCTCTGGCGGAATTGCTGGCGACTTCTCTGCAGACATAGTGCAGAGTGCAGTGCTTGTTCTTTATGTTTTGGCCTCGCCTGCTTATAAATTATGTTCTCTGTATGGAGATTCAACCTACGAAAAGAAGTCTTCTGCCAAGACAATGTTCTGTGCCGAACAAAAAGTTGTGTATGATTCTTCTGTAATGTTGAAATTTTTTACCTTGTACTGTAGTGACGAGAGAAAATAGTAAATCAAAATGTGCTATGCCTTAGTAATAGGCTAGGCTTCATTAACTCATTATGACTCAGTGCTGTAAACCTTCACTCCACCCAAAAAGCTGAAAACTAGAAAATGATAAAAATGGTGGAAATGTTTTATTAAAATTGTTATAGAATCACAATCGTTTTGGAAAATTCCTTTTTTCAGCATCTGAAAAGGAAGTTTCTTAAAAGAAAATTTTCAGAAAACAGAAGTTTATGTTTAAGTGTTTTGACCTGTCTAAAGAAATTAATGAACATGTAATAAATTCGAAACAAAATTCACGAACAGCATCCAAGGGTGTCTACGGATATACACGATAATTATATTATTTCTTAGCAGATTGCGCATTTGTCTCTCGAGAACTAATGTTGTAATGAAGTGCTTAAAATCAAGCAGTTCAAAAGTAACTCAGCGATGAGCAGTGGAATATTCGGGATCCAAGCTCTGAATAAATAGTTCCCGAACACATAAGTTACCGAAACGTTTGCACTATACAATTTAGTACATTCTTTGGGTGTCAAATAAATATTATCTTAAGTATAACTTCTTTTGTTTCACGTCACAGTAAATACTCTTGCTTTAGAAAGTTTTGAGCACGTTCTGAGAATTAGTATTTATGTGAACTCTGTACTATTCGAGAATGAATAGAAATTGTTTTAGAAGAATATTTTATAGTTATGAATATATCACAAATGGCAATCATCTCATTTGTTTAAAAATCTGTATATTAGTATTTTCAAATATACGTGAATATTACTTTAGTATTTTGTTGAAATCATGCCATTTGAATATAAATATACTATTTGCATTGTATTTTATAAGATTTTGTGGTTTCTTTGTTCGCTAGGTCTAAAAATAAATATATTTTTGTATGTTGCAGGGAGACGAGTCCGAAATTTGGACCCGAACAGTATCACGTCGGCCATTGCAGAATTCAACAATGGTGAGTATTGCGGAAAATATGAGCTAATGCTTTAGATAAAAAGTGCAATAATTTGGAAAAATATAAATAAATTAAAACGTAGAAGAAAAAATCAATTGTTTTAGCAGAGAAAATTAGTCGATGCAAGTGGTCAAATGAATGATAAGAAGAGCGTTAATTGGAAATAGACATGTGATTTCAGTGATTATGACGTTTTATGTAATTAGTGTAGGGTTCCAAAAAGTATCAAAGCTTGTGCGCATAATTCGGAAGGGAAGACAAGCAACAAGGAGTATTATCATGAAGAGTATCAAACGATCACTCAAATAATGCTTGATTATTTTTAAAGTAAACATAACATTTGCAATATAATTTTTAAGTATGCATGAAACATTACGCTTGTTTCAAATATAATGATCAAATGTCCCATAACAATGACGTTTCATTGATGTTAGAGTGAATTTAATATGAATTTGTTGAATGATTTTATTTCGTAATAATATTTTCTGAAATAGATCTGACATATTTTAAGATTTTTCTTTATTTTCTTTCACACTAAAAATAACGCACGTCCTGCATTAAATATAGTATATTACTTTAATCAATAACTGATTTCAGTAACTGACGCATACAATGCTTATATTTTATTTTTTTAAATATCGCTACTTGTAAATAATTTTATTCGAATGAATAGGCAAATTATGTTCTAAAAGAAGAAAACACTGCCATGTATTAACTGTACTATCTATTATTAACACACCGTGTAACAACCCATATAAACATCGCAATACCATATGATGTACGAATGTTTTGCTATGAACCATGGACGGGTTGTTTTTTCAGACTCCTAACTCATCTGCATTTATGCAATGAAACAAGAAACAGTGAAGTGACCGAAAGTGATGATGTTACAGTTACTAAATTTCATAATTAACAATTCAATGCCCTGTGGTGAAATATTTTATCAGAAATAATATCATATGCGATTCTGTTTAGTAGGAATATTATAACTCTAATGTTCGATGAATGCTAAGTACCAAAAAAGTATTTAGTTCAAAATGCATTGAAACGGATTTGAAACAGTTGTATATACCGATAGAACTCACTCTTTAACAAATTAGGGCTACATAATTTTAGACAAAATATTTTCAATACGTAATCAAAATGTCTTTGGATTTAAAAAATGCTAAGAATATCTGCCAGAAAACAAATTTTGAGTTTAATTTACAAAAATTGCATTGATCGAATTGTTTTGATGATTCATTGCTCTTTTCTATATATGGGAGCCATTACTTGTTCAGACATTACAATCAGTTCATTTTCTCTTGTAGTTGAATTATTCGTGGCACAGCTTTTGGTATTTTCTTTTCTTAAGAAGTTAAAATAGCTTAAAATTGATTGAAAATATTATTACACAACAATGTATGAATGACAGTCTACCTTAAGTTAGAATGTGGACGACAGAGAGATACCTTTTTATATGAACGTCTTGAAAATTGGAGTAGATAACTTTTTGAGTCAAGACCCGTGTTACATACTTAATAATTAATTGGGGAAAAACATTTACGTTTTGACAGACACGCATGAACAATCCTTATCATTTAATATTTCAACGTGTTAAATATGTTATCAGGAATGAATTAATTATATCACAAGTGCTGATAAACATTTATACTGTAATTGTAATGCATTTCATGTTTCAGTTCCACTAAAATTAATTCACATAATCAAAAATTGACGATTGATTTATATTTAGCAATAATTGTATGAACGAATTTGCCAACAATATAAACACCAATGTAAAATGCGAAAACGACATTATACACTTGTAAACTAAAAAAATTAATTATTGACTCTAATGTTCTGTACAGTTCTGTAGCAGGATTAACAAAACCCATTAATTATTAGATATCAAACGTCTGTACGTACTTTCAATTGTAAATTGCTCATAAAGTTCAGTAATATTTATAATTAAGCTCATTGAGACAAAATGTGACAAAGCCAAACATTAATTTGTATATTGAAAAGTAAAGAAAAGGTTTTTGAAGAAAGAATGTCTTACACTAACTTAGCTTTCTCCAACTTTGAAATGTTTCCAAAATTCTTGTATTTTATTTATTGAAATAATAAATCACCTTTTTAACTAGCCTTTTCCCCCAAAAAACTTAAGGGTTATAAAATTGTAGATTTTGTATTAGAAACTTCCAAACTCAACTTGACCTCCACAAATAATAAAAAAACAGTTGTAGAAAAGAAATGTATTATTAAACAACTAAGATGTAAGAGAAAAGAGAAGCCTTGCCTGCATTTTCATAAATGTGCTTTTACTGTACTGAATACGCAGACACTTCGAGTGTTTTGGAATTCGAACACAAGTGATGTCTGCCTCAGCGTAGGGATTCAACATCGATGTCAATATTTTCAAAACATCGATGATTTGTGGACGCATCGATGTTTTAAACTTCGATGTATTAACACCTTTGTTTTTTAACATCGATGTTTTATGATCGACTTTTTTTTTCTTTTCCGATGTTTTGTTCCTGAATGAAAAATTCCCATCATCACAATACTGTAAAAGTTAAAATATTAAATAAAAACTGATGATAACAATTATTCATGTGTAGGAACCAAAGAAACGTTGATTGCACTACCTCACTCGAGATCTTCTCCATTCTTCTGTATTTCCGCTTGCTACATATTCATTTTACTCATTGATATAATAAAGTCAACAAATACACTGTGGGAGTATGGTCTGCCCCTTCTTCTCGCACCCTTATTAGCTGATATGATAAACATGGGCACTCTTATATTAAAATTTAATGCACACGAATGTATTGTTAGAGATTACTAATGCAGACTAAAACCATCGACGTTGAAAAAAATCGAAGGTTTTTAGTCGATGTATTTTGAATATCGATGTTTTAATTTTGAACATCCGTGTTTTATTAGCGATGTCGCATCATTTATTTAGAGACGTGGTCGTGAGCGACCTGTGCAGCTCTTCGTTGGCCCTCCGGTGGCAGAAGGGAACACTCGCTGGTAGAGGGTCGTCTGAGGGAGGGGTGGATGGCGGTGAGGGGCGGTAGAGTCGTGGACGCGCTCGGATGCGCGCGCGGGCCCGCAGATATTTTTCGTATCATTACCATTTTAGGTGCGCGGCCTCTCGTTTCTCCCCACCTCATCCCACCTCGCCACCCTCGATTCCCTCGGTTCCTCCCAACGAGAGCACCGCGGGGACGAACGTTTTCTCTCGCCTCCTCTCATTTCGCGGCGACTTCCGCCGCACTAACGGCCACCACAAACAAAGGCGGGGCGAGGAAGAGCGGGGAGGGCAGGAGCTGGGGCAAGCCATGGAATGGAAAGGGGAGGAGCGTGGGAAGCGTAGAAGCTCGGAGGAAGAAACACGACAGCAAAAGAGAAAGAGGAAGAGAGGAACAGTGCGTGCCGAAGGAACAGGAGGGTATAGGACGGACCGACCGGAGAAATGTCAGGGATGGTGGCGGGGTCACAGCGGGGAGAGAGGATGTTGAAGTAAGGGTGAGGAGTGTGGGGCGTAGAGGGGAATGGCGGGGCCAGAGCGAGAGAGGAATGGCATTGTCTGAGATGGGAAAGGCGGGACGGGGCAGAGCGGGGAGGGCAGGGCTGGAGCAAGCAGTGGAATAGAAAGGGGAGGAGCGCGGCAAGTGTAGAAGCTAAGAGGAAGAAACAGCACAGCAAAAGAGAGAGGGGAAGAGAGGAACAGTGCGTTTTAGAGGAACAGCGGCGAGGAGAGAGGTGGACGGACCGGGGAAATGGCAGAGATGGTGGCGGGATCACAACGGGGAGAGAAGGTGATGACGGAAGGGTGAGGAGTGTGGGGCGTGGATGGGAATGGCGAGGCCAGAGCGAGGGAGGACTGACACGGTCTGAGATGGGAAAGGCCCGGGAGCGGAGGTTGGGAGAGAAGAGATGGAGCGAGAGCTTGGTGAGGGGAGGGGGCGGTCGAGGTTGGTGGTAGGGGGCGGACGCAGGTGCGGCGAACAACGTCCCTGCCCCCACCCGCTTCCGCAGCCTCCGACACGTTTCCGGGTGGCGTGGCGTGGTGCGAGGGGGAAAATGGAGGTAGACACTAGTGGACCGCATGTTGAGGTCAGGTATGAACTGCAGGAAAGGGACGCAGGATCTGAGAGACAAAGTTAAAGAATGGAACCGAAGGGGAAAAGGGATTTAAAAGGACAAAGAGGGAAGGCTGAGAATGAGTGAAGTTGAGGTAAATCCTCAATGAGGACGAGAGAATGAAAGAAGTAGCTTCTATGAAACAGAAGGAATCCTGGTGGATTAGAGTGATAGTGAGATGACGAGACAGAGAGAGAGAGAGAGAGAGAGAGAGAGAGACGAAGGATTAAAAAGAAACCGAGCATTTGAGAATTAGAGAGAAAAAGAGATACATAGAGAGAGAGAGAGAGAGAGAGAGAGAGAGAGAGAGAGAGAGAGACGCGAGTTTAGGATTGAGCAACAGTTAGAAAAGGGAGGTAACTTGAGATAAAAAATGAGAAAAAATATCGGAACAAAGTACGAAAAAACTGCGAAATTAAAGGAGAAACACGAGAGAGAAGTGGATACAGAACCAAACGAGAGAAAGAGGGAGAACCATAGAAAATGGTAACGGAGCGAATAGCCAGAATTCGGATGGCCCCGAACAGAGAGAAAGAGATCGCAAGGCGAGCAGTGTGGGCAGGGGCGCGGGAGGCCAGCGGTGGGTGTGGGCGTGGGCGTGGGCGTGCGAGTGTGTGGGTGGGGCGTGGTTGGTGTGCGGTGCCGTGTTTCGCGATTACAATATTTATCCGAGCGATCAGCGCGCTCGCACGGAGAAAGCAACATGCTCTAATAATTTTATATTCCTGCCGCCGCGCTGGTTTTTAAAACAAAAGCCAACCGGTGGCGCGCACAGGACGCGCCGAACGGACGTCATTGACTCTTTCAACTCTTTCGACTCTTTTGTCAGGTCGTTCCTCTCTCGCCCGTTTGCGCGCTCCCAACCTCGATTATTTTTTTGCGAAAGGGAGTTTTTAATACCACGGATGTGTGCTGCCTCGCGATTTATCACACTCTGCTTCGTTTTTCCAGTTCTAAGTGGTATTTCGCTTTTGGTTTTTCACGCGCTTTGCTGTTTGCTTTAGGCAAGAGTTTTGATTCATCCAGATATTATGCTGCGCCGTCTTTCTTCAGAGTTGCTATTTTGATTTTCAGATGAGGCATTTTAATATTTTTATGGATTCAAACGTTTAATAGTAATGTAATATGTTAAAGTTCTCATAAAATCCATGACATATCTTTAGGACTTAACTAATGCTAAAAACTAAACGAAGTGGCTCAGAGCATAGCGTGCTGGCTTCGTATTCTGAAGCCTCGGGATCAATCCCCGTGCTGCCCATCCTGGCCGGAGTTTTCTGATTTCCTTCAGTCACCCAGGCACGAATGGTGAAACGGTTCTTCTGAAAGGCCAAGACCACGAAACAGGCGTCGCTAGCGTCACCGTGAAGGTTAAGCGAATTGTAGACAACTCGGGTTACTGGTTGGGTGACCGACTATGAACCCCGGGATCTAAGGACGCAGAGATCCTGTCCTTTACGGGACATAATATCTAAATAAAACTACAAATAAAGTTAAATATGAAATGAACGTGGGAAAAGTAGTAAATAAAAATTTTCAAAATCTCACATCATATGTTGCAAATATTATTTATTGTAAATAACCCAGGGAATCGAGGCGTTAGGAAAAAAATCGTCCGGAGAAATAAACGAGATATGAGCGGCAGTTGGCAACGACAGAGACTCTCGGACTTCACGTCCGCTCCGCACTTGACTCTAAAAACAACACACTCAACGTCGTGATGCGGGAACGATGCGGCATCTCCATTGCTAAACAAAAAAGAGCGGAAAGTTGCCTCGAATTATAGATCCAATTCAGCGCATCGCGAGGAGCCGCGAATTGAATGGCTGTTCAAAATGTTTAGAAGCAGTTGTGGAGCGGTGGCCCCTTCCGAAAGCCATCGCGGGCGGCGATTGTCGCAACGGCGCCACGCTCCGCGAGGGGAGGCGCTTTAACAGTGGGCCGGAACGAGAGCGCGCGGACAAACATGTCTAGCCTTTGTCCTGTAGCCGCAAACATAAGCACACAAAGTGGTGTTCTAAAATGCTTCTCGCGTACTGATCAAAACGAAAAACTAAAATATTCTCGTAAAAAAATTCAATATGTTAAATATGTTAATGTGATCAGTCTCCTCGAATGCCCAGATAACATTTTACAGAATGTGTAGAGCACAACAGTTCTTAACATTGCAAGAAGATCAAAAGAATTGCGTTCCATAACACTACACAAGTAGGTAATCTTTCATATCCAACGGCCTCTTCCTAAGAGGCTTGATATTGCAAAATGTCAGCAAGTAGTATGAGAATTGGTGGACAACGTCATGGAACTGTTTCATTGTTTTCGTATTTTTCCCCGAGTTCCTGGATGGAGCATTTGAAAGTAGTAATATAGATTATGATTACGATTAGATTCTAGGTAGGTTACGATTCCTAGATATATTAACTATTAGTATTTTATGTTAGGGTAGTGAATGCTTAACGCTTGAAGATTGTGGAATTAATTGAGAAATATGCATTTTGTATTAGTTTTAAATTGGAAAGGGTTTTTTGTATTCATGGAATTTGCCATGTTGGATAGAGTTCTGGAGGAAGACAATTGAAGTGTATTCATAAGACTAGTTGTTGCTGAGCTAGATTACGTCCATGGTTTATGGAAGGTACCGTAATGTTGAATTAATAACTTGGAAATTGTCTATTTTTGCTTCTCAAAGTGATCATCGGTAATTTGAGCTCACCGACGGTACGTTAATGATAAATTTTAATTTTGGTTACTGAACTGCAGCTGTAGGCGTTGGATCCTTAGAACTATAGAACTTAGGTCTATAGAACTGAATGATGATAAAATTAGGTTTGTTGCTTTGGAAGGACATTGAAGAATTAATTACTTTATTGTAGAATGATGATTCGCACGCTCTTTTATCTCGGATTACTCATATAAACATTTAAGGTTTACTTTTAGACGGAGAAAACTATGTTATGAAACGGTTAGATAGTGTGTACCTGGAACAAAGTATTGAGTAACTAAGAATCGGAACTGTCACCATCCTATTCCAATACAATCTCGATTAAATGGTAACAACTTTATTCTGATTGCTATATCAAAACCTTTCGGCCTATTCTCGGGTGAATGATATGGATGGTATTTGTGCAATGTAGGAATGAAGACGAAGAAATGGGAAAACCCAGAGAAAGTCTTTCTCAAAACTACTTTCACCAGCGTAGGGTTCACTTGAGCTGCATTCAGATAAAATCTCGGTTTCACCGCTGAAAGATGACCAGGCTAATCGTGACACCTTCGTTCACCCTGAAGCGGGAAAATGTGTAGAACGTTGATTTCCGTAGGTCGAACAAACTAACTTACGAACACTTTTAAACATATGGTCGGAATGAATAGGAATATAAAATATAATTTTTGTTTTCCTTGTACTACAAAAAAATCCAAAGGTTTAATCTAGTGATGTAAAAATACACATGTTACGATTCTAATCTTGCAATAGTAGATATGTTTAGTGTTGCCATTTTATCAGAGTGTGTGACTCACTCTGTACACTTAAATAAATGTTGACGACATTTTGTTCGTTTGTTTTGCTTCTTCTGGGAATTCATTAAAGTGCTTAAACTGTATGTACCGGCGTGGGTATAAAATTCTTCGTTTGCTCTGACACTGAAAAGAGATGTGCAGGAGAGCACTTCTATGAGGCGAGATCATCTAGCTAAAACCAACAAATGCACGCTCGATATTTTCATTCTTTCAGTGAAGGACGCCAAACCAGTTTATTTTCTAGTCGTTGCGTTGGGAAGGATGCGGCAACACAGCTCAACTAACAAACATCTGCAGCAAGTATGAAGTGTGTAACCTAAAGCTTTTCTGTTTTGTTGAGTATCCGTTTTATAAAATATCTCAATTTAATCAATAGTTAACTGAAACTACATTAACATGGAAATGTTTACTTGTTCTTGAAATTTTTATATTGTTGTTAATGGAATATTTGTGTTTTGATTTACAAGGTAACATACAAATGCTTCAAAACTACCCAGAACTCACATTGCTTTTAAAAATACTACAATTAGACGTAACTCATAATTGTGATACTAAATACGTACGTATTCATATATAAGCATTGTCTGACAACACATCGCATTTCGGACATAATAGAGATCGAAGAAAACCCGAAGCCAAGCGAATGTTAGCAGTGCGAGTTCTCTCTCAGTAAACTGTCAGCAGCTTCTTCCCTTTTCTCTCTGGCTTCCTTCATTGGTTCCCTTTTGTTTACTCCTTCTAGGATGTCAGGTTTATATTTTAGCGCTCACGAGCGCTAAGATTTGCGCCTAAACAGTAGCACTTCCATTGAATTCCGATACCCGGAGAACTAAATCGTGAGGGACATCAATGGCAAACCCAAAAAGACATAGCAATATAATTGAAAGTATATTTTATATTTTTAAGAACTAATGATACATCTCTTTAGACATATTGTATAATCATTTTCAATGTATAAGAAGAGCTAGGTATGAGAATAGCAAAGAAAAATTAACACAGGAGTAACGATGCACCTAATTTACACAACAAAATTACTTTTCATTTCTGTGTCAATTATTCTTTGTAAACAAATTTAGTCATTTATTTTGCATATAATAAGCAATTTACGTGTTTCTGGAGTGTTTATATGTTTCTAAAATGCAAAGGTTTCCGAAGAAACTAGTTTCTCAAACCCACTTTTGAGTGCTTATTGCAGAAGCAGAATCCGAAATGGCAGCCTTCGACTGCGCAAACTTGGACGCTGTTCCAAGCTCTAGTGTCATCGAGGTCGTTCATGATAAATAGAGCACTTGAACCATTTTAATTTAAGGATTGAAATATCTTATTTTGACATTATTAGTATTCTGTTGCTATAATTTTTCCCTTCCCCTTAATTCTTAGAATTAGAAAAGAAATAAATTATCGTATTAAGTTTTTAGTAACTCATATGAAGATGTCAATGAAGAGTCAATTACTAAACCAGACATTCAAAATAAAATATTGAAAACGAATTAAACGAATTTGGTAATGCATCAGATATAAACAGTGAAATGATGAATGAGTAAATAATGCTTAGTGATAAAAAGGTGTAATGTTTTACATTAGTCATTTGTAGCTTGTGAATGATGCTACAAAACCGTCAACATGACAATACAACGTGACAGTACATGAAAGAAGAAAGCCCAAAAGTAATGAAACGTTTCATAATGCACTTCACGTAGCTTGTTGACGGGTAACATAATTAAACTGACATTTGGACTTCACTCACCTTCTTAGAGCCTTGAAAATAAAAAAGAAATGTTAATGAAAAAAGCGGGCCGTCTCAAGTTCATGCTTTCTTATATTTTATGGATGTAATAATACTTCTCTTTTTTATTTTCGTTGGTTTAAATGCTTTCTTAAAAATATTAGCGCGAGAAACTCGCCGTCTTGGCGTCGTTCGGGAGCACTGTGGTGGTTCTTGAGGTTCCCTGCGGCGTGGTCGGCAAAAGCTCGTCCTCACAAAGCCAAGCCCCTTCCAAGACATTCGCACAATTGCATCTCGCCGCCTCCGCCATAACCGCTCCCCCTTCCCAGCAGTCGCCACACTCCACGCAACTGCCGTCTCCAGAATAATTGACGCAACTGCCATCTCCACATCTGCGCTCCACGCGAGCTCACTCTCCGCTGATGCGGACTTCTTGTGTTGGCAACGCCGTCATCCCAATAAAGCCGTCGGTCCCGTAACCTCCGATTTCCAAGTTCGAATCCATGTCATCACTCTTCCTGTAGCAGTCACTCTCTACCCACTGTCCGCACATCTCCAACCTAATAGACTCTGTCGTCGCACCTTCATTCTTACAATTTTTCATTTTCACGCAGACGTCCTCACATATTCTTCCCTGGTAGTCTTATACAAATAATATTTATTCTCACAGCACCATTCTCACAACCCGTCCTCAAAATCCCCTTCTCGCAACCCCGTCCTCACAACACCGTCCTCACAACCCCATCCTCACAACCCTGTTCTCAGAACCCTGTTCTCACAACCCCGTCCTCACAACCCCGTTCTCACCACCCCGTTCTCACGACCCCGTCTTCACGACCCTGTCGTCCCAACCCCGTCCTCACTATCCCGCTCTTACAGTCCCCGTTTAACAGCCCCCTTTTAACTGTCTTTTTCTATCAACTACGTTCTAGCACTCTACCAGTCCCTAAAACTGTATCTCTCGTTGTCCAACATCCGTCTACCCTCCGCCCAACAACTCAGTCCTGCAACCCCCCACCTTGCACTTCCCCAAATTTCGCAGCTCTCATACCTCTATCGTTGAACACATCATCATCTTCGCCATCGTCGCCACTTGCCCCTCCACACGGTCATAACGTCTGTCCACCCTTCCGCCCAGATGGGGCATCTCCGGTCTACCAGCTACCGGTAGAGCGCATGTCATCGCCGCCGTTGACCCATCAGCACGGCCGTCGCCTCCCCCTCCCTGTCTTAGTTACGAGCGGCGCGCGGCGGCCGCGGGGCCGATGGCTAGGAGCAGTGGAGGGGGTTGGGGCGGGGCGGAAGTTGTCTAACGAAGTGCGGAGGCAGTGGCGACCGCCGCCCCCCGCTCCCTCGGCCCTCGCGCTGTAAAAAGGGCCGTTATGGCTGCTGCAGCTCCTTTGCCTCCCCTCCGCCCTTCGCTTCTCGCCACGAGAGGGCAGCGCGGGCGGCGCAGCGTCGTGGGCTGTTTTTGCTTCGTTGCCTCATCCCCTCCTTCCAGTTGCCCCCGCCTCTCCCCGATCGCCTGCCCCAGGCTGAACGCTATCACGCTCTCTGCCACCCTGGTCACCTACTCCACCTTCATTGCCTCAGTCTTCCGCCTTCACTTCACTAGTCCAACACCACCTTTCCATCACCACCACCCGCCTGTATGCCAAGTCCCCCGGTCTCTCGCCCTGGAATCCTCCAACCCATTATCCTACTCCGTCGCGCATTTACCCGTTTCTCA